TCAATTGCAAGAAGCAATATGATACGATACAAAAAGGTCAATGAAACTGAATAACTGATGCTTATACGGCCGTTCTACCTGGTGTTTATGTTGAGCTCACCTTTTTGTCGTAGCACACTTATTTGTACCTTTTAATATTTGGTTATGTAGTGCATTCTTGTTTGTAATATTTGCTATCTTCTCCAAATTGAGATCTCAGATGAGTCAATTAATGGAAGTGGGGTAACAAGAAAATGGGTATGAGAGTATTCCGACTTTATATAGTAGCCTTGGAAGTCAGACCTTTGTTCCCGTTGTTTGTGGGCTGTACCAATACGCATCTGGATTGATTATTTTACTGTGGGTGATGTAGGCAAAATTGGTTTATCCTGTAGTTTGCTCATCGTCTTTTTTTTTACCATCCATATATTTCTCGTTGGCCGTGTTAATTGATATTGCAGGAGTTACATTACGAGTGTTTTAAATGGACCACCTTAGATTTATTCAATGTAGTATTTCTTCTTCTCTATGGGCCTGAATTAGAAATGTAAGATTATTTTAAGATTTGTGATTTAGTTTTGAAGTTGTTCTCAGATAATGTGGCCTGAATTAATTCTCAGATAATGTGGCCTGAATTAACTTTGAGTAGAGATAAACTGAAATCATTTGATCATTTGATATACGCACAAATAGAATTTAAAATTTGACCCCAAACAAGTCTGCTGTGCAAATTGTTTCGTAACGAGCAATACATTGAAGTTTAGTGTCTATTGATATTGTGGCTTATGCAGTAAATTGCTGTTTATTCTTCTATTTGTATATAATGTTTATACATGTTTTGTGCTTGATAAAAAGCAGGAGTTCAATAAAAGCAGAGTGGCAAGGTCATCTGCTTTTACTGCAGCCAGTTATAGTACCCCAGAAGAGTCTTCATTTAATGAAGGTGTCATTCACACTGTTGAGAATACCATGAAGAAGTACACTGACAATATCATGCGTTTCCTTGAGGGCATTAGCTCGCGCCTATCACAGTTGGAGTTATATTGTTATAACCTTGACAAATCAATTGGTGAAATGCGCTCTGATTTATTACGTGATCACGGAGAGTCAGATTCGAAGCTTAAATCTCTGGAGAAGCATGTTCAAGAGGTCGGTTTTTCTTTACATAAGTTGCATACGCAGAGCATATGCTTTTTTTATCGAAGTTTTGGGGAAGCAATAATGGATGTGATATCAGTTTGGTGAATTATGAATTGTTTTGAATGCAGGTCCATAGGTCAGTGCAGATTCTAAGGGACAAGCAGGAACTGGCTGATACTCAAAAGGAGCTTGCGAAGCTTCAGCTTGCGCACAAGGAATCCCTGTCATCAGGTCAGCAGCAAAATGAAGCGAAAAAAGGGAATGAGAACCCGTCACCAGATGGACACGATCAGCAGCAGCAGCAGCAGCAGCAGCAGCAGCAGTTGGCTCTTGCACTGCCCCACCACCAAGCAGCTCCACCTCAGCAGCAGCAGTCGTCATCATCAATGCCTCCCCAGACAGTGGCGTATTACATGGCTCCACCACAAATGACAGCTCCTAATAATAATAATAATATGACAGCCCCATCTCAGCAGTATCCACCACAAAATCAAACCGAGCCTCTTCCTCAGCAGCAGCAGGTGCCACCACCACCTCCATATCAGCAGCAGTGGGCCTCCACTCAACAGCCTCAGCCTCAGATGGGAGTCTACACCACCCCCTATGTGATCCCACCTCATCAGCCCCCCGCTGAAATGGGCATCGGCATGGGCCCCACCAACAGCATGCCCATGCAGAGGCCCTCATCGGCATATGTGGGCCCACCACCGGCCCAAGACTATGGCTATGGCAGACCGACTTCCCCAATGCCACCACCTCAGCACCTCAACAAGATCACATCTGTGCCTGCGTACGGACCACCGCAATCCTTCCATCACCTACCTCACTTCCAACACCAAAATGCACCTAATATGGTTGTGCCCCACCCCCATCCTTCTTCTATGCACGGAGTTGGACACCAATACAATGAGTTGATCGAGAAGTTGGTGGGGATGGGTTACAGGGCTGACCATGTTGTTTCTATCATTCAGAGGCTGGACGAGACTGGTCAGACCATTGATTTCAACTCGGTGCTTGACGTGTTGAATTCTCACATGAAACCTGGAGGAGGAAGTGGGGCTCCTCAGAGAGGGTGGCGCCCATGAGCTGCCTTTGCCACTCTCCCTGATTTGTTTTATATTTGCGTGTCTACCTACTGAATAATGCGTCATGCCGTTAATATGTACGGACTAAGAGATGGCTTTTTACGTGGAATCTCTTGCCCGTTTCTGTGCTTGCTACTTTTATGTTGACTTTTTAGTACATGGAAAACCAGAACCATTTTCTGTTGTTACGATGTGTCTGTGTTTGAGGAATCCTTTGTTATTAGTATCGACTTCTCTATCTTAACAGATATCACTAGATTATTCGCAGTTCAAGGTACATCGTAGGAGCCATTTTTCTTGCTTCACTATGTTACTAGTAATCCACCTTTGCATAGGCGTATGTATGTGTTGAAATTATAAGTTTACCCGTGTTGAATATTTGGAGCAAAGATGGATCATGATCATAAAAGAATACTGGGAAATTGGTAATACTGGATATTAGTGCTTACGCATTTCAATATTTGGAGCAAAGATAGATCATGATCGTAACAGAATACCTCTAACTGAATATTAGTGCTCCAACTGCTACGATTAGCTTCTGAATATTGTTTTTTGTCAAAAAATACTTGTTATACCGTTTTCATATTCTAAAATAAAGGTTCAACCGGAAAAAATATTGGTAAAAGAATCAATTAATACCAATTGTTTATGTTATATTTTTGTATAAATATGAAGTTGTAATCTTGATGTTTTATGTTCTTGTGTTAATTATTTATTTGTTTTAATATTAATTAAATTGGTTACACACACATATAAGGTTGAGTTCAAGTGAGAATTATGATTAATGAAAAACAAGAATAATTCTAATGACTAAAAAAAAGGCAAAATTATACATTCATTAAGGATAATGTGGGACTTGTTGTAGTGGTGTAACACGACTCTGGCCGGGCTATGAGCTGCCGGCAGGTGGAGGCCGTATGAGGTGTGTGTGTGTGGG